TATCATCATCATCATTTTTTAGATGTTGAAGACCAAAACCTTTTCTATATTATAGTTGTAAGTAGACTAGATTTCTCCTCCCAACACCGAAATATTTCAACTGAAATTTAGGCTGACACCGCAGCACTCACGAACTCTCCTTGACATGTCGTCACCTCTGCCAAAGTGCAACTCTTTGCCAGTTCTCATCATTCATGAGCCGCACGTTTCTAACAGCCAACATTGGACAACAAATAAACACAAGTTCAACTGAAACCTGACTCACATTTTTCGCGTGACAAACCCAAGCACAAAACTCACAAAGAAAGCAAATAAAATCGTGCATTTTGTTGATAAATAGTGAATCCACAATAAACAAGCAAAGAAACTAACTATAAAAAAAAAGATATGAACACATTGATGACGTCGAATAAAGATGACTATTAAGATTTTAATTTTATTTCAATTATGAATAATATTTTAACACACATAACAATAAATATTTCGCTTGCAACAAGATTTGTTGTTCATTTTAAAAAATATGTCAAATGAAAGCCGCCTTGATTGACTGTCTGGCTCGACAGGCCTCACAAAAATCACATTTGTATGGGCTCCCACGGAGCCGGTGCTTTTTGGCATAAACCAAGAAAAACAAGTTGCTCAATACGCCCACTAACTGACCGCATTTGCGAGAGTGGGGCAGTATGATACATAGACAGACAGAGAGAGAGAGAGTGTGTGTGAGAAAGAAAGGGGGGGCAAGGGGTCACATCTCTACCTGGTGAAAATTCCAAAGGCCTGCACAAAATATTGTCTTCTAAATGAGCGGCACTTATTTATGTAGCTTTTCATTTTTCTTCTCAACTTTTTGGTATTTTTGTCGTTTCGTGTTTTCTTTTCATTTTGCTGTCGCGACACTTTTCACACTCGCCTGTTGACACTTGTTTGATAAATTTGTTTTTAGCTGGTTTTCTTTTCTTTTTTTTCTTTTTTTGAGGAGTGTTGTCGGTGAAGGGGTGCTTTGGCATATGTCAAATGGCTTTGTAGTTAATTCTATGGGAAATGTGTGACTAATTACGATAAAGAAAAAGGAAATTTTAAGCTCAGGCTGATCATAATACTTATGGAACGTCAAATTTACATTTATTTTAAAGAAAATCAGCATATTTTATATGATTTTTAATACGTTTTTTTGGCTATAAAAAATATATATTCCTTTTAGAGACATACGTAGCAGTTTTCATTTTGTATAATCAAAGTTTTTACTCAATACAACTGAAAAATTGCACAATTTTGTGGCCTTTCTGTAGTTCTATGCCAAATATTTGAACTTCACTCCAATGTCAGTTGCAAGAGAGAGAGAGAGAGAGAGAGAGAGAGAGAGAAAGAGAGAAAGAACCACTTTGACAGACAGTTTCAATTTGCACTAACTTCACAGACAAGTCAAACCAGAGCACCAACTTGGTAAATGCAAGCGGTAGAGCGAAAGAGAGAGAGAAGGGGAGGAGGAATGGGGGGTCAAAACATAAACTAGAGAAAAACAATTTATATGAAGCGCTGCGGCAAAAAAAAAGGGGCAGCTAGAGAGAAAAAGCCCAAGCGACGTCTTTCTCTTGGTATTAAGGTCAAACGCGTTAAACCAAAAACAGCAAATACAAAAGCAGCCGCAAGAAAGAACAACAAATGACGAAACAGGTAATACAAACTGGCAGCAGATTTGCAACAGCAGCAGCAGCAGCAGCAACGGCAGCAGCAGCAGCAACCACAAAAATCAGAAAGCTATGGAAAAAAAAGCGTCAGAACATTGGCAAGTAACGGTAAAGAAGAAGAGAGTTAAAGAATTGGGTCAGGCACAGCGTCAAAGCGCGCAGAGGAAGAGGAAAGAAATGTGCAACGCAAATAATTGGCCAAAAGCAAAGAGAGAGAGAGAGAGACAGAGAGAGAGAGAGGGAGAGAGAGAACTGTACACGAAGAACCCGGCTTAAATGAAAAGAAAGTTAAGAACAAACAGAGCCACAAACGCGAAATCAGCCGCTGCTGAAGCCAACACAGCTCCGGCTTACCGTTATGTTGACCGCCTTAGTTAACGGTACTGCTGCAGAACACAACACCTCGCACCCCTCCCCTCCCCATCGCCTTCGCCAACCTACCCATTCCAATGCTCTGCTGTGACAGCAGCCTCCTCCTCCTCTTCAGCGAAACCGGTTAGATTTCGCTTTGGTCGCTTCTTCAACTCAGCATTGACACCCATTTTGCAACATTGAGCAAAAAAAAACCAAAAAAAAAAAAAAAATAGTCTTTGACTTTGAGTTTCCCTCGGGTTCTGATTGAATCGAAAACTGGTTTTCAATCAAATCTGAAGTTGAAGACAAGTTCTAAAGCTTTCTAAACGATGCAGCCACACAGCAATATTTGGTAAGAACATCAAATTTTTATAGTTTAAGACAATAAATTCATAATTAAAGTTTCATCAATTTGAAATATATATTGAATAGTTTGTTGAATGTGCCGTCAACTTTTGACAAGTTTAGCTCATCAACTTTAATCAGTCATTAGCTGCATATTATCACTCTATAATTTAATGGAATTAACTTAATATTTTGCATTTTTTTGTTGTTTGTTTTGTGTTCAGCACTTTAACACGATTAAAGCATAAGAGCCAAACCGGAAATTGCCAAATGCACTAAAAACCAAAGCCAAAACCAAACTTGGACGCTTCCGTTTGATTGCTTAAAGCTAAAAAAACAAAAAACAAAAAACAAAAAACAAGAAATGTTTCAGATATTACTTTACAGTTGATGCTTTTATTTGTTGGTATCTTTAGCTTTACTTTGGTTTTGGTTTTGGTTTTGATTTTGATTTCCACTTTAATTAAATCATTTGATTTGCGCACGAGCACAAATTAGCAAAGTTTTAGATTCCAAAGCACACAATAGAAAAAAATACGATTGAATACTAATTAAAATGAATAATAATACAAAATTCAACGAGTGGCGCAACGAAAAGTTTTGCTATACGTTTTGCAGTACTTCAATCATTCAATATATCATTTACCTTCTATTCAAAATTATTAATTGAATACTTTCAGTGCCTGCAATTCAATACATTTCGCAATTATATATATTATATTGCACTAATAACACTTTCAATTTAATTTTCTTTTCAATTCATCAAACAATTACAACTACTTTCTTTATAAAGTACTTTCTTTGAAAATGTAAATTTAGATCTCTGAACAATCACCAATCATCCTTTTCTTCGATCGCCTTTTCTTCAATTGCTGTTCAAGTACGCATTCAATTTTTAGTAACTTTCAATTCAGTTCATTCATGGAATACAATTTACTCGGCTTACTTCAATCTACGTTTATTTCATTTATATGCATTTAGTTGATCTTTAACTCAATTCAATTCATATTGAATGAGTCTTTCAATCTTTTCAAACACACCACTTATAAACTATAATATTCACTTTTTTTTTTTGTTTTTTTTTTTAGCTTATGGTCTTGACATTGTAGAACTTGCTATAACTAGACAGATTTCGATTCAGCTTGAATAGCTTGCCACACAAGCCTAGACCAGTTTTTTTATGGCTTTTTTTTTTTGAGAATTGTCAAGGAGATTTGAATGGAACGCGTGGGTTCCCAAACCATTTCCTAAATAAATGTATACATTCCCCCCTTCAACGATCACCACTCAAATTGTGTGACATTTTAATTAAATTACTCGACGATGTCAGCATGTCAAAATTATTTCAATTTGATGAGTTTTGCATTCACTCACCTTATTTTCATATACTGTATTTGTTTTGGTATGTCAAAATGAAGAAAACAAAAACTTAGACAAAGGTTGTCAAGCCAGTTTCCACAAATACAAAACAAAATTAATAAAAATAAAAAATTCCTATATATAAATTATAATTAAATTAGTAACTTGTTTTATAGCCCGACAACCATCCGTCATACAGTTTTAAAGAGTTGTTGTTGCCTTTATATAGGTCTGTTCCCCTTTGCCTTAACTAAGTGATATTAAATTTATTTATTATGCAAATTTTTATTTAGGACTATGAACCTTTTTATTGCAGACCTTTTGTAATGCAAATAAATGATGTATTTTAATTTTGTTGGACTCGGCAGCTTGGATTAACGTCGCATTAGACAAATAATATGTATATTCATACAATATCTATGTTGTCGTAGTCATAAGCAAACAAAAAACATAATCGCTCTACAAACCAATAAAGAAAACATTTTAGTATCCTCTCCAAAAATACATGGAATCCGAAATAGACTAAAATATCTGTTGACTGATGACTAACCACCACAGCACAAAATAAGCATATAAATTTATATTAATAAATACAACCTCTAATATATATATATATATTTATATATATATATATATATATATATTTATGCAGACCTGATTGCTGAATTCAGAAATCACAGCGAGTGACTAATAAATTCCCAAGACAATTTATGAGGCAGCTCTGAATTGTGATATTTAAATTGCCTGCCTGCCTGCCTGCCTGCCTGCCAGGCTTACCTGCCAGAAACTTGGTCAGCATTGATTTTGCTGTTATTGTTATTGTTTGAGTGTTTTTAATGAGCTGCCAGCTAAAATAAAACTTGGCCCAACAACGCAAATGATTTTCTAATAGTTTACCCCACACACTAAAACTGAATGGGCCCACTTTGACCCAATGACGCAAACGGATGGCCAAGCAAAAGATTTGTTTAGAGCACAATAGCAAATGCCGATACCAATTTCGATATTATATAACACTGAATTGAGCATTTTGGCATTCCGTTGTTAGTAAATAAAAGCATTCGAAATAGAGCCATGTGCGAAAATTCGTTCGCTCATTATACCAATCAACAGAAATCTCCAAATTTATTGCGTGTATGTTTATATATACACATATATATATATATATATATGTATATCGAGCTGATCGGGGGGCAGGGGATGCGAATTTGTAGCTCAGTTGCATGTTGCTTGACTTCTAAACAAGTTACGTACATTGTCACCTACCTGCAATGAGAAAGAATTGAAGAAAATGAATTAGTTATATATTATTTAATTAATGCTCAGCATTTCTTAAGCATAAAAAATGGTATCTTTTTTTATATTAATAAGAAGCATGTTCTTATTATGTTTGTATGTTTTTGAGAAATTTATTATTATTATTTTTTCTAAATCAGCTATTTGCATACAGTTTCTTTTGGCTTCAACACCTGACCACATTTAATAAACCGCTTTTCATCAGACCTTTGCCGGTTTAAAAACTTTAAATCGCGTTTTGTTGCCAGACTTATTGAATCGTTATACTAGACGCTGTCAACAGTTTCGGACTGATGGACGACGCTACAGACTGACTGACTGTGTGTGTGTGTGTGTGTAGCAACAAAGGCTTTGGCTTTTGCCTATTTCTGAGCCTGGCAAACTAGTTAAGCCACAGGGGATAACCGAAAAAAAATCCGCATCAAAAGCGCTGGCTCATAAATCACGAGGCCTCTTTCAAAAACAAAGGTCGACTGCGACACAAAAACCAAAACAATCAGCCGAGCAGCCCTACAGGGGTGATTCAATGGGTTGAAGCGGGAGAAGAGCAGAAGAGGAGAGGAGGGGAGGAGAGGGTAGGAGGGGAGTGTAGGAGAGGAGGTGGAGCAGCGAGAAGGCAGTACATCATGCGGCGGGTCAACAGTGCTCCTGAAGTTGCGGTGCCTCATAAATATTGACGCGTTTCGCGTATGACAAAAATTGTCGAGCGCGGTTTGTAAAAATAAATTCATGGCTTGTAAAATGCAGAAAATCCAGGAATATGAAATATTTAAAAAGGCCATATAAAAGACAAGAAAGCGCCAAAGCCGACGAATTGCCGGACAGCGGCCGAGGCTGGCAAAGCGGCTTAAACACACCCAGACACACAAAGGCACAAGGCATATACCGATTTTTTGGCCCATGGCCCTTTGACCGCAAAGTGCTTCAAGGGTGTGTGTGTGTGTGTGTGTGTGTGGTTATATGTGTGTGTCAGTTTGTTGTCTGGTGGTCATTGGGATGTTCCATTTTCATTGCCTGCATTTGACTGGCGACCACTCGAAAATATCATTTACATATCCTGAGCGCATCCTTGACGCCTGCCGCTTTCAAATATACACGAAAAGCTTTTACATTTTTTATACTCACAACACACACACACACACACACGCACACCCCCACCCCCAATACAGACAGAGAAAAAATGAGAAACGAAAAAAATTTCACAACCTCAATTTGGTATTTTTGTTTGCATTTTGTTTTTCATGTGTCGCATTTTTTTGCCCCTTTTATTTATTTATTTATGCCTTATGCCTCAGTTGCCATCGTTGAGCTGACCGTGCGCTGCCCCCCACCCCAAAATCTCCCTCAACCACACGCCCCCTACTTGTGGACCCTTTGATTTTTGGCATTCGACTTTGTTGTTGTTGAATTTAACGCGTAAATTAAATTAAATTTTCATGTTGCAACTTTCGTTTTTTTTTTTGCGCCGAGTTGAGCACAACTCAAAACCAACCCCAACTCCAAAATCCGGCTGCGTCTCTCCGCTTTTGATAACCATATATTGTATTAACAATTTCATTGGCTTTAAATTTTAAGCATAGTTGAAATTGTATTAACATTTTTTCTACATTTCTCTTGTAGGCTTGAAAAATGTAACACAAATTTCTGCATTTTTATTTTCGACTTCAAAGTGCAGTGTTTTTTTTTTTTTGTTGTTTTTTTTTTAAGGATTTTCTTTGTAAATTGCTTAAATGTTTATTTTTCCCGCAGCCCTCAGAATAAATAGATATTAACAACAGCCCACAATCTCAACAACAAAAACAGCAAAAACAACCAAATTTTATGGCACATCTGTGCGTTTTTCTCTTCGATTTTTCTTGGTTTTGTTTTGTTTATGTTTTAATTACGTTTATGCGGTTGATTTATGTTGATACAGACGCCACGGGGGACGGGAGTGGAGAAGAGGGCAAGCTGGCCACACATTGCCAGATGTGTTTGTGTGTGCGAGAGAGAGAGAGAGAGAGAGAGTGTGTGTGTGTGTGTGTGTGTGGGTGGATAGGTATGTCTGTCTGTCTGTTTGGTGTGTCTATTGGCTAATGTTTTGCTAATGGCCTGGGCCAAACCATTTGGCCTTAAGCGGCGCAACAAGCACCAAATGCTAATTGAAATGGGCAAAAACAAAAGCAGAGGTTTAGGTAAGGTTTTAATTAGTATTATTATTATTGTTCTTTTTTATTAAGTGCACCACCTATGGAAAAATGTGAACAGCTGAGTTTGTGCGAGGAGGAAGGGCGTGAAGTGTGACAACTATTCAAAAAATGTATAACTTTCTTCTAGAATAATGATTTATACATCAGCTACGACTTCAAATTTAGAATTTTATCTAATTTCAAGTTGATCGCTTCTTACTTTTCGTCAAAGAAAAGTCGAGTGTTTCTTATTCGATCTTGTTGAAATTAGTATTTCAATTCAATTCTAAGGCTCTGCCTTCAAAACTAAATATTATTATTGCTATCGGAAATCGATATATATGTATGAAAGTTATCGATAAGATGCAATAAAATTACATTCCAAATACTTCCTTCTGCCAGTTACATATTTTTACATAAAATTATTTTCGACAATTTATTTATGCTCAACATTTAATTTATATTAAGTATAACAAAAAAAAGAATATAACAATTATTAATTAATTAATTATTATTAATGCGTGTGATCAAAGCGGGTTCACAGTACTCGCTTAAGGTTCATCCATTTGTAATATTCACAATCAGAACTCTGCACCTTTGGCCCCGAATACATATGCGTTTGTATGAAATGATGTATGTGTGTGTGTATTTTGTTGTCTACGCACGCATTTCTCATACATATTCCATTTGCTGTTGGCATGATAAATGACTCGCCTGCATTCTATATGAGCGAAAGAAATAACCATTCATCCATCCCAAACAACAACTATCTATGCCATCTATCTAACCGTCTATCTATCTATCTATCTATCTAACTGTTCTATTGCCATGCTTTGTATTTTTGGTTAGTCAACAATATGGCAAAATATGTTGCGGACTGCAACAGCAGCAGGCAGAGAGTCTATACAATTTGACTATCTCTCTCTCTCTCTCGCTATTCTCCTTTCTCTCTCTTTCTCTCTCTGTCCAGTTTCTGTTTTTGTATCTAATATGACCATCGAAAAGTTGCGCTATTGCTGCTTTTGTTGTTATTACTGCAACTTGTCAGTTTCGGCGCAAAGACCATCAATTTACTTAGCTTTATTATGTGCACACGCAGTGGGGAGTAACTCCACCCCCCACTACCCCTTTGTTCCTCATCCACCCCACAAATATGGCCCATTTTTTATATTTTTTTTTGTTGTTGTTGTTTGGGTTTGTTCTTGCCACGCTCCATTTTGTATTGGCGCTTGGCCCTTTTTGTTTACGCTTTGCACGCAATGCATAAAAGCGGTTGGGTAGCAAAAAAAAAAAAGAAAACAACGAAAAAAATATCAGAAAATCGTTTTCCCATCGCAGTATGCAAGTGTTCCAAGCCCTGTTGTTCCCTAACCCCTTCCCTTTTCTACACGTTTTGCAGCTAAAAACAATGGCAACAAAATGTATCTTGACACTTCATCGTTAGCCAAAAAGTAGCGCAACATAGCTAAACAAAAGACAAGCAAGGCAAGCTGCCACAGAGGGCGTGGCAGGCACCATGTGACACGAGGCGTACAAATATAAAGGGGGAAAGGGGGTGCAAGACGAAGCACCCAAGAGGGGGAAATGCCTGCATTTTCGCGCTTGGCGTTAAATTCCCCTGACAGCTATAAAATTGCATTTTAGAGTAGCGCAACACAAAAAAAAAAAAAAAAAACAACTCGCAACAAGAAGTAAGAAAAGAAGACAACAATAAAAAAAAGAAAAAAAAACGAAGCAACATTCCATGGCCAGGCGCAGATACTTTGTATCTATGTATCTAATAAATAGTTATTGCCAGCACACAAAATTGATATTCCCCAATGCAATGCGAACAGACAGACAACAAAATGATAGAGAGGGGGTGCAGTGGTGTGTGCGTGTGTGTGTGGAGGGTGGAGACAACAAAAGTGCGACATCATTATATAAATTGTGTGTGGTTGAGAGGAGTTGAACGGCAGCAGCAGCAGCATCATATGTTTTGTATCTATTAGATACGTGGAGCGTTGAGTGCTTGCTCTGCCGGCTGGTTTGAAGTGATTTCACACACATGTTCTTCTACAAGCCACCCACACACAAACATCCCTAAAAATTATATATGTATGTGTGTGTGTGTGTGTGTGTGTGTGTGTGTGTGATTGCGTTTCAGCACACAAACATGACCACAGGAAATGTTTCACAGCTGTGCGAAGAAATGCCAAAACAAGGCAAAAGTATCTCTGCGCTCAGCTATTTGTCTTGAAATGGGAAAAGCGAAGTTTGGCGCCGTTGCCTTTGGGGTTAGTAGTAGTAGTAGCGAGAGAGAGAGAGAGGGAGAGAGAGGGAGAGAGGGTTGTCCAAGCATTTAAGCAAACAAACAGAAAATGGCACGTGACAAATGCCAGATACTTCATATGTGTTTTGTATCTAACGGATAGACAAGAGCAGAGCTCAGATTGCGTCTCAGGCATTCAATTCAGCTTAAAGGGCAACTCTCGCCAGAGTTGTCAACATAGGCACAAAAGCAATTTCCGACTCGCCGTGTCTCGCTCCGTTTTGCGTGCGCTTTAAGTGAATTTTGATGACATACAGAGTTAGTCACACATGTTGACAGGCAACGGCCCGCAGTTTTGAGGCCTGCCTGGCTGCCTGCCTGGCTGCCAGCTGATAGCACAAGAGTGTAGCACGTGTTGCAGCCACGTGAGTGGCTCGAGGGCAATGCGACGGCGGCAACAGGGTGGCGGCAACCCTCAGTTACTTTTTTTTTTTCGATTCAGCCTGCGTCTTTCACTTATGCTGAGATTACACGCTTGTCAGCCCAAGCCG